TCCTCTTTGTATGCAGTTCTGGACCTTAGTTTTCGAGGATCCGTTAATATGCTAATCACCAGCTTTTCGTCAGCTGCTAACGAACCGATGCTATGAACACACTACTATCGTTTGTTAGCACAGTCCATAGCTATTGGTTTCCTTGTTACGACGAGGTGTTCATTTAACACCTCAGAATGACTTGGTTAGTATGTGAACCCCTAATGTCTCGACTAAAGGTAAGCGCGCTCTACCACCTGGAGTATCCTAACCAAAAGGGTTGAGGTAAAACGTGAATGCACCCAAGGAAGCGTACAGATCGAAGACTGTCAGCATTGCTGACTTGGCAAGATGCTGCTTGGTTTCATGAAACGTAAAAAATACCCTATATTAACCCCGTATGTCATGTTGTTTTGTAGATGATTCCAAATGATTTAAGCCTGTGAAGATTCAGTAATTAATTACTGTATCTGAAACTCGGTCTAAAGTTGGATTTTGCTGTGAAAAAGCTGCTGCCTTCGCGTCTTTTTTGTTGCGATCCAGGCTGTAGGACGAAACTATAAAGTACAACGCCGGTCATTACCTATGAAAAGTTCGCTAGATGAAGCGTATCGGTCATGGAGTTGGCTGCCGAACTTCCTGTTTATTTAGTTTTTATTGACAGATGTGGGAATAGAGGTTTGTCCAGTTTACTCATGCATCTCAAATGCAGACTGTTTAGAGGAGAAGAGGGGACGAGTAATGGAAGTGCTCATAATTTTTCATATCAGCCGACTGTTTACCTTCAGTTGAGAAGCTACTTGAAGTTAGTGATATACTGCTGTTTATTTTCATTGTATTAGTAAAGAGTGCCTCGTTTTAAATAGAGAATCGACAGCAGTTATGTGGCAAGCATGGTATGCAGTTTCTTGTTCCCTTCTCACAGAATTCCACCCAGTTATTAACCTCGAAAGGAAGAATGGCGAGTGATCTCAGCAGAGGTTCGCAATCTGAAACAACGTGAAAAGAAAATTTGTAGTGAAGAATATTCGGCTGAATGGAGCCCGCTAACTCCTCCGTAGTTCAAAGCAGACCCCTACCACAATGGCATCTTAGATGTTCCCCTTTAGTCATGAAACCATTCAGCTGTGCTCCAGCATGCGCAGCCTGCGAATGGTAACAACTGAGCTACATGCAAGAGTTGAAGCCATATGATGTCCTCATA